GGGGGCTGGTGGGGGATTGGGGGGAAAGGGGAGAAGGGATTGACATGTGAAATCATAATTTTGTAAAAATTAAATTAAAAAAGAAATTAAAATAAAAATGAAATAAAAAAGAAAGTGAAAAAAAAAAAAAGAAAGAGAAATGAGTTGGTTATGTAAACCCAGTGACTGGTGTCCACACAAGGGGAAGACCCAGCAAAGGTGCCATATAAGCATATATGACCTCATGAAGAGTCAGCAAGGGGATGCCGCCCTCTCTTTGCCCAGAGGAGGCCTCAGGGGAATCCCACTGTGCTGGCTTTGTGACCTTCTAGGACTGTGAGAAAATGAGTTTCTGTGTAAGTCACCCTGTCTGATATTTGTCCACAGCTCTGCAGAAGAATACAGGATACCAATGTTCTAGTTTACATCGGCAGCCTGTTCATTCTTCCCATTATTTATTTTGTCTGAAATGCAAATGGATTTCCTGCTGCTCCTGATACCGAGCATCAACACACATTCCAATGATCACTTTCCTTCCATTCTGTCCCGCAGCCTGCAGCCTGCTTCCTCTCAGCCGTTCCCCACTTGTCTGGTCTCCGTCTCTAGGCTCCTCTGGCTGTAGAGGAAGCTCTGCTGGTCCCCAGGCCATGCCCTTTTCCCCAGGAATTGCCTGTTCCATCTTTTGCTGTCTCCTCTGTGTGCAGGTTTTGGGTTTAAATGCCTAGTTCCTGGGTAGAAAACCATGAGGTGGGAACAGGCGAGCTTGGGGTCTTGAGGTGCCAGCGTCCGGTCGTCAGAGCAGAGCCTTTTAGGTGGGTTGGGACAATGGATGGCCCGGAGCAGTCACGCTGAGCACATCTGGACTCGGCTGGGATCCTGCGGTGAAAGGAAGCTTATGGAGCTCAAGACTGCCAGCAGCCTGGGGTCCCCCGGCAGGGCGGCAGGATGCGTGGGGGAGGGGAGCTCCAGCCACCCCTCCCCCGGCTCGCGGTCCTAAGTAAGCAGAAGCAAAGCCTGCTCCAGGAGTCCCGAAAGAGCATGGATCTGGGAACAGAAACTTTTCTGACGGAGGTCGTGGAGGAGGGGACACATCAGACTGCTTGTCCCACGGCTAGTCCTTAAGCTCGCTTGAGAGTCCCTGCGTCCCACTGAGGAGCGGAGCAGCAGCGAGGGGGGGGGGCGGGGGACGACGACGACGACGACAACTGGCTCTCCTTTTCGTGCTGGACATTGAAAGATTGGACTACTTTCCCCGCCGCGCCCTTAGCGCTCACCGCGGTGAGCTCCACCCCATCAAGGCTTCCACTTGCAGGAGGGGCAGTTGGCGCAGCGCCCAGACCCGGACAGCACCTGAGGGGCCGGGGGACAGAAGAGGCCCCCATAGTGGACTTCTTTACCGGACCTCTGTCCCCTCCTGCGCCCCTAGCTCCATCTCGACCCTAGGCTATTGCTGCTCAGCCCCCGCTGTGCCTCCTAGGCTCCCGGATCTCCCTTGCTCATCTCTACTACCCTGCGTCGGCTCCCTCGATCCTCACCGGGTCCCTGTCCTCCTCCAGACCCCCAGGGCGGACGGAGTCAGCAGGGCCCCTTCGCGTGTCCCCAAGGTCCACGCTGAGCGCGCCATGAGGCTGCAGGCGCTCGGTCTCTGGTTACTACTGGGTCTTCTGCTGATTCTTCTGCTGCAGCCTGTGCGCGCTCCGATTCCTAGGGCGCAGGACGTGAGCCTGGGCGTGGTGAGCTCGGATCCTCTGGCTCCTGGGATCACAGGGAGCCTGTAAAAGGAAAGGAGTAGGGTGGACTCCTGGGTCTGAAGGAAAGAGGGGGCTAGATTCAGATGTCCTGAAAGGTGATTGGGGATGAGCTCCTGGGGCCCTGTGTAGAAAGGAGCCAAAAGGGCCCCTCACCTGCTGCTTCTAAAAGACCGACAAACCCAGAGCTGGGGGTTGGGGACCCTGGCTGTGTATATAAGGGAGCTGGGTGCTGTCATCCAGGGCTCGAAGCACTGGCTCTGGATTCCCTAGAGGGTTGGACTTTTCAAATTATGGTGAGAAGGGAGAGCCCCATCTTTTCAGGGCGTCATCATTCCTCTCCTATGCCCTAGGACTGGCTGACTCGCTATGGCTACCTGCCCCCCACCCACCCTTCCCAAGCCCAGCTGCAAAGCCTTGAGAAGCTGCAGGATGCGATCAAAATCATGCAGAGATTTGCCGGACTGCCTGAGACAGGACAAATGGGTAGGTAGCCCACCATGCCCTGGTCACCGGGCAGTACTGCTTCTGTGGATGGTCTAGAGTCTTTAAACCGCAGGGAAGGCCTGAATCACCAGAGATATCAAGATGCTGGTCTCTGCGGGCCGGTGGTGGTGGTGGCGCACGCCTTTAATCCCAGCACTCGGGAGGCAGAGGCAGGCGGATTTCTGTGAGTTTGGGACCAGCCTGGTCTACAAGAGCTAGTTCCAGGGCAGCCTCCAAAGCCACAGAGAAACCCTGTCTTAAAAAATCAAAAATAAATAAATAAATAAAAATAAAAAGATAAAAAATAAAATGCTGGTCTCAGGTCTCAGCCCAGACCTTAGAGGTCTCCTGGCATCCAGCTATCCTGTCCTGGCTTTGTCAGGCTTCATTGTTGCAGCAGATCAGATCTGGCCCCCAGGAGCTGACATCCTGAGGAAGAAAGAAACAGATCAAGAATATCAATATACAAAATTATTTCAGATGGTGCCATCCCCATGATTAGGGTAGGACACTGATTTGTTTTGGAAGAGTCTTGCTGTGGAGCACAGGTTGGCCTCGAACTCTGAGATCCTCCTGCCTCAGCCTGAGTGCTGGAATTCCAGGTCTGTACTGCTGCATCTAGCTGGGCAGGACACTCTGAAAGACGCCAAGTGAGCCTATAAGCTAAGATCACAGATAGGACACAACCACAGGAAAATGTGGGGGAAATGGCCTAGTAACTGCAAAGGAACTATGGCAGGCACAAGTTTATCTGCTGGTAGTGAAAGGCAGGCTGATGGGCTTAGGCAACAGCCCAATTAGGTGACCATGAAGGAGGTTTGTTCCAAGGATAAGAAGACACCAGGGGAGGAGGGCTCAAAGGAGGAAAGCAACTTCATCTGACTTTCAGGTTTTTGTTGTTTGTTTTATTGTGGGGGTGGGTATTCCTCTGTGTGACTCAGGCCTGGTCTTAAACATGTGGTCCTCCTGTCTTAGCCTCAAAGGGCTCAGCTCTGATTTGGTCTTACGTTTCTTTTGTTTGCTGACATGGAGTAAAGGGGCCGGTGGAGAGCCAGAAGGAGCCTTTTGCAGGCAGTACTGGGGAGTAGGGGTGGGGATGTGGCAAAGACCATATTTTGGAGGTAGAGCTGAGGGCTGTCCTGTGCAGTTAAATAAAAAGACAGAGGGAGCTTGGAGAATCTTCCAGGAAAAAAAATTCCCCTGCTCTATTCATTCTCAGCCTGGAACAGAGTATGACATCACTATGTTCTTGGTTACTATTTGCAATTGCTACCAGTGGTTTGACCTCACTTGAATGTGGAATGAGCCCTGGAAATGGGCAGGCGCTAGAGGGGGGTTTACAGAGAGTCCTAATTTGAGCAGGGATGCTTAGCTGCTTCAGACTAAAGATCCCTGCTGGTCCCCGATGGTCTGCAGACTTTGATCAGCATCCCCTGAGGATTTAAGCCAGACTGGGTGGCTCACCCAGTCGCTCACCTTTAATTCCAGCAAAGACAGGCAGATCTCTGAGTTTGGATTCGAGGCCAGCCTGGTCTACAGAGCAAGTTCCAGGACAGTCAGAGCTACACAGAGAAACCCTTTCTCAAAAATCCAGGGGGGAAAAGCATACAAACAACAACAATAAAAAGAAAGAGTGATGGACAGCTTTAAGGAGAGGGGCAGCCTTTTGGATTCTGGCCTTAAAGGAAAGCGGAGATAGCCTAGGTGGTAAAATGTTTGCCTTACAAGCATCAAGACTTGAGTTTGACCTCTAGAAACCAGCTGAAAGGGGGTCTGGTGGAATGCCCTTGTAATCCCAGTCCTGGGGAGGCAGAGATGCAGATCCTTGGGACTCATTGGCCAATCTAACCTAGTTAAGGAGTTCTGGACCAAGTGAGAGAGCCTGTCTCAAAACCCAAAGCCAATGAAACAAAACAAAGCAAAACAAGCAAACAAAAAAAACCCAAGGTTGAGAGCACTTGAAGAATGACACCCGAGGTTGACCTGATCTCTGGTCTCCACACTCACTGGTGCACATGTGCACCCCTGTATGCAAGTGTATGCAATCCCTTTCACCTTTGGAGTACCTTCCTTTAGTATCCACCCACTGAGGCTAGGGAATTGGTGCAAGAGACCCAGCTCCAGCCTCTAAGTGCCTCCTACAATGACGAGACCACCTAAGGCCAAGTAGAGAGGGTGCCTGGCTTGCGCTAGCTTTCACAGTGATTATCTGCGTCTAGGCCGTGAGGCCTTAGCCAATTTCTTTTTTAAATATTTAGTTATTTTTATTTTGTGTGTTTGGGTGTTTGACCTGTGTGTATGTCTGTGCATCAATAGCGGTCAGAAGATGGTGTCGGGGCCCCTGACATGGGAGCTACAGGCTATTGTGAGTCACCATGTGGGTGCTGAGACTTGAACTTGGGTCCTCTGGAAGAACAGCCCGTGGAGCCGGCGTTGGTAGCGCACGCCTTTAATCCCAGCACTCGGGAGGCAGAGGCAGGCGGATCTCTGTGAGTTCGAGGCCAGCCTGGTCTCCAGAGCGAGTGCCAGGATAGGCTCCACAGCTACACAGAGAAACCCTGTCTCGAAAAAGAAAAAAAACCAACAACAACAACAACAACAAAAAAAAACCAGCCCGTGGCTTTAGCTTTTGAGCTAACTTTTCAGCTCCATGGAGCCAATGTCTTGGTACCATGATGACAGACTATCCTATCACTCATCATGTCTATCTTCTACAGACCCGATAACAATAGCCACCATGCACAAGCCCCGCTGCTCCCTGCCTGATATTCTAGGGGCTGCTGGGCTGGTCAGGCGCCGCCGTCGCTATGCTCTGAGTGGCAGTATGTGGAAGAAGCGAACCCTGACATGGAGGTAGGTCTTGGTGCCTGTGCTTCCCCTTGTCCTGCTGACTAGGTCCCAAGCTTGCCTGGCTGGCCATTCCCTCCACAGCCACTGGGTCTCCTCCTCTCTCCTCAGTATCCAGTCCTTCTCTCAGAGCTCCCAGTTGAACCAGTTGACCGTCCGGACCCTCATGAGCTATGCCCTGGCTGTCTGGGCTGTTGAGTCAGGCCTTACCTTCAAGGAGGTGGATTCTCAGAATCAGGAGGCCGACATTCTTATCCACTTTTCCCGGGGCTACCACCAGGACACTTACCCCTTTGATGGACCCGGTGGCACCCTGGCTCATGCCTTCTTCCCTGGTGAGCACCCCATCTCTGGAGACACTCACTTCGATGATGAGGAGACCTGGACTTTTGGGTCAAAAGGTAAAAGTTTCCATCTTCACAGAGGTCCCCTCTTCTACAGATCTGTCTGTACTGAATTTAAATTAATTGATGAAATCAGTCAAGGACTCCCTAGAGGAGCTGGAGATATGTAGTTCAGTGGTATACTGCTTGTCCAGCATGTATGGTTCAGAAGACAGACAGACAGACAGACAGACAGACAGACACACACACACACACACACACACACACACACACACACACACGGCCCAGCATGGTAACACACAGCTTTAATCCCAGCACTCAGGAGACAGTGGCAAGTGTCTATTTGTGAATTTGAGACTAGCCTGGTCTACATAGTGATCCCAGCCAGGGCTACATAGTAGAAGCTTGCATCCCAAACAAACAAAAAACATTTTAAAAAGTTGTCTGGGTACCAGGTGCATTGCCTGGTACCTTAGGAAGCCCAAAGAGGATATGGAATTTGTATTACATATGGGTGTGATCTACCATGTGGGTGTTGGGAATCAAATGTGTGGAATAGCAGCCAATACTCCTAATCACTAAACTACCTCTTCAGTTCCCAGCCCCTCCCACACCTTTAAAAATATGTAAAAAGAGGTTTTTGTTTTTACTTTTTTGAGAGTTGGTCTCGTTATTGTATCCCAGGCTGGCTTTGAGCTCACTATTTATTCTAGGCTGTCCTAAAACAGTTTTACTTTAAGGAATTGGCTCATGGGGATTGTGGGAGTTAGCATGGCCAAAATTTATAAAGCAGAATGAAAAGTCAAGCTAGATTTCTGTTATAGTCTTGACAGAATTTCTTCCCTCCTAGGGATGGATTGATAAGGTCCTTTTGCATTGGGTACTTTGCTTCAGTGAGAGTAGATTGTAGTCAAACCTCTGGAATACCTTCACAGCCATATCTGGACTGCTGTCTGGACAATCCACTAGATACCTGTCCAAAATTACTACTACACAGGCCTTGCAAGTGCCAAGATCAGACAGTGGTGGCCCACACCTTTGATCCCAGCACTAGGGAGGCAGAGACAGTTGGATCTCTGTGAGTTTGAGGCCATCCTGGTCTACAGAGTCAGTTCCAAGATAACCAGGGCTGTTGCACAGAGAAACTCTGTCTCTAAAAAAAAAAAAAAAAGAATTGTCTTGTGAAGTGCCTAGCTCAGAGATGGACTGGTGTAAAAACTCAAACACCTCACTATCCATCAACTTAGGCAGAAGAGTGACTGTCACCTCTATGTACAGTGATATGATGGCCAGAAATCACAGCGGAGGAAGTTCTCAGCTTAAGTTTCCCGAGGAGGGGTTGGAGAGATGGCTTAGAGGTTAAGAGCACTGGCTGCTCTTCCAGAGGACCTGAGTTCAATTCCCAGCAACCATATGGTAGCTCACAACCACCTGTAATGATACCCGGTGACCTCTTCTGGCCTGCAGACATACATGGAGGCAGAACACTGTATACATAATAATAATAATAATGGCGCATGCCTTTAATCCCAGCACTCAGGAGGCAGAGGCAGGCGGATCTATGTGAGTTCGAGACCAGCCTGGTCTACAAGAGCTAGTTCCACGACAGCCTCCAAAGTCACAGAGAAACCCTGTCTCGGAAAAAAAAAAATAAAAAAGAAAGAAAGAAAAAATGTATTAAAAAAAAAAGGTTTCCCGAGGAGGGGGCAGCCTGGCCCTCTTGGGCAGGGAAGGCTTCCTAGAAGGGATGACTCATTCTGCTTAAATGTAGCAAGTGCAGGATGTGGTGGCCATGAGGTAACAGCACTGTAATCTGTAATCCCAGTGCTGAGAAGCTGAGTCAGAATCACTTTGAGATTGAGACCAGCTGAAGATATACAGCAAGACTTCAGAGTCCCGCACGGTAGTGCCAGCACTCGAGAGGCAGGCAGATCTCTTTGAGTTCAAGGCCAGCCTGGTCAGAGTTGTTACACAGAGAAACCCTGTCTTGAAAAACCAAAACAAAGCAAAAAACAAAAAGACTCCAACTCAAGACAAACTTTTTTTTCTATCCTGGTACTTGCACTATAGACCAGGCTGGCCTCGAACTCACAGAGATCCACCGGCCTCTGCCTCCCAAGTGTTGGGATTAAAGATGTGCGCCACCACCGCCCAGCAAGACAAACATTTTATTTTTATAATAAAACAGAGTTTTAAAATATTTTAAAATAAAACAGAGTTCAGAGAAAGTGTAATCCTCGTGCTTAGAAGGCTAAAGAAGTTGTAGCAAGTTTGAGACTAACCTGGGGCTACAAAGGGAGATGAAGGCCAGCCTAGGCTACAGAGTGACTCTGTCATGAACAAAACAAAACAAAGAATGCTGAACACCAGATGTCACAGGCCAGTGCACAGATATAGGGGACACACAAGAAGAACACACCAGCCAGTGAGCTGGCTAAGTGCCGAGCGTAGCCAGAAGTGGGAGGAGCCCACTTCTGAGGGAAGATACGGTCTGGAGCATCGATGGCTGGAACACAAAATTGTGGGCCGCATCGGTGTGTATGATGTCACAGATGAGAGTGGGCTCTAGATTAAAAACGGTTTGGGAAAGGAAGCAGTACTTGAACAACAGGATTCAGGAAGCAATGGGGACACATCAAATAGTTTAGCGTCCTAGAAATATTCCTTGTTGCCTGGGGAGGTGGAGTGGCGGTAGAATGGAGAGAGGCCACGAGGCAGAAGCGGGCCTGGCAGTGAAGAGGCAGATCTGAGGGAAGTCAGAACGGGCCCAGATTGCAGTCTGACTAGACCCCCTGGTGACAAGGAGGGTAGACGATGGCCAGGTTCAGCTCAGCGTCCTAGAAGTTTGCTACTATTATATTGCAGTGGGCTGGCACGGGGTGGGTGAGTGCAGGTCTGGGTGTGTATTGGCAACACGTGCATGTCCTATGCGGGTGGCATGGAGGATAAGTATCCTCTTTAGATAGAATTGGACTCCCAGTTCTGTCTTAGGTCAGGTTGCCCAGAAGTAGGGCTTCACAGAGAAAGTCTTTTTTTTTTTCCTGCTCTCCCCCATCCTGCACTGAACTCCCATTCTTTTTTTTTTTTAATTGTGTTTTTTCCTCTTGTTTCCAGATAGAAATTCTTTTTAAGATTTTATTTACTTATTTTATGTATATGAATGTTCTATCGGCAAGTATGCCTTTAGGCCAGAAGTGGGCATCAGATCCCACTGTAGACAGTTGTGAGCCACCATGTGGTTGCTGGGAATAAAACCCAGGACCTCTGGAAACGCAGCCAGTGCTCTTAATTGCTGAGCCATCTCTCCAGCCTCCTGTTTTCATTTTTTTCCTGTTTGTTTTTTGTTTTGTTTTCAGAACAGGGTTTCTCTGCGTAGCCCTGACTGTCCTGAAAGTTTCTCTATAGACCAGGCTAGCCTTGAACTAACAGCGATCTGTCTGCCTTTACCTCCTTAATGCTGGGATTGAAGGCATGCACCACCACTGTCAGCCATATAGAAATTCTTTTTTTGTTTGTTCGTTTTGTTTTTTTGTATTTTTGTTTTTCGAGACAGGGTTTCTCTGTGTAGCTTTGGAGACTGTCCTGGAACTTGCTCTGTAGACCCGGCTGGCCTCGAACTCACAGAGATCCACCTGCCTCTGCCTGCCAAGTGCTGGGATTAAAGGCGTGTGCCACCAACACCCGGCCTCATATAGAAATTCTTAAGCAAGCAGTTTCTCAAGGGAAAAGGTACTCAGGAGAAAGGGAAGCAGGAGGGGGAATAGAACTGAACATGGATGGGGCAGCTCTTCTCAGTTCTGTATCAATTAGTCATTTTCTGTGCTAGGGTAGGATGAGTGGGGAGGGGATAATTGGGTGTGGTGCCCAGGCTCGGTGGGCACAGGCAGCCAGTCACAGACTGAGACAACACTGAGGCCAGAAGCCTGTGTAGGCCACTAAGCAGCATCTCCAGTGCAAGTAGGTCAGCTTTGATGCTGAATCAGCTCAGGTTCCTCCACTTGCTCTGTTTCCTCAGCTGAGAAATGAGGGAAGAAGAATGCCTTGCGGCTGAGTGGTTTGTGTTCTTTTCACTCGTGTGCACCTGTGCTGCTGACTGCGTTTGCAGCTGCTTGCAGAGCTGAGCCTGGGGAGGGCTCCGGAGGTGCCAGGAAGATAGTATACAATGTAAAAGTCAAAAACAGCAATGGAAGCTGGGCGGTGGTGGCACATGCCTTTAATCCCAGCGCTCGGGAGGCAGCGGCAGGCGGATCTCTGTGAGTTCGAGACCATCCTGGTCTATAGAGAGCTAGTACCAGGACAGCCTCCAAAGCCACAGAGAAACCCTGTCTTGAACACCCCCCCCCCAAAAAAAAAAGAAACCAGCAATGGAGATCCTTGAAGTTAAGAAGTAGGTAGCTGGGAAGAGAGATGGGGAACTGGGCGTGGTGGTATATGCTGATAATCCCAGCATTTGGAGGCTAATACAGGTGGGTCGATACAAGTGACCAGCCAGTGAATAATCTACATAGAGAAATCTAGGCCTGCAAGCAAGAGACACTGTCTGGGGGAAAAGCCCTAAACCTAAAACAATGGAGGTGGGGAGAAAAAGGGCTGAAAGATGATGAATAAAAGTTCAGAGGAAGTGGTTAGATACAGCAAGGCAGGAAAATGTCCAACAAGTCATATGGCCAGGATTTACTTATTTGGGGACAAGTGACTTTTTTTTTTTTTTTTTTTTGGTTTTTTGAGACATGATTTCCTCTGTGTAATAGCTCAACTGTCCTGTAACTCACTATGTAGACCAGGTTGGCCTTGAACTCACAGAAATCCACCTGCCTTTGCCTCCTGAGGGCTGGGATTAAAGGTGTGTGCCACCACCACCTGACTGACAAGTGATCTTTTTGAGCCTGCTTGCTCCATGAGTGTGAGAAGAATTTCAAACTGTAGATAAGCGTGAGAAAAATAGAGGAAGTGAAGACTGTTTAAACCACTGACTGAGGAACTTGGCTAAGAAGCAAGGGCAGAAACTAGTGAGGCTGGAATCCTGGGGACCAGGTCCAAAGAGTGTCTCAGGATGAAGGTTTTTTTTTTTTTTAATTTTTTTAAAGATTTCATTTATTTGTTATGAATACAGTCTATACAGTCTTCTGCCTGCCTGCCAGCAGAGGGCTCTGGATCTCATTCAAGGAGGTTGTGAGCCACCATGTGGTTGCTGGGAATTGAACTCAGGCCCTCTGGAAGAACAGTCAGTGCTCCTAACTGCTGAGCCATCTCTCCAGCTCTAGATGAAGGGTTTTAAGCATTGGCTCTACCAATGCATCAATAGAAAGATGAATGTGGATGCCTGGATAGAAAGGGTGTTTAGGGTACACACCTTTCATCCTAGCACTTGGCAGATCTCTGAGTTTAGTCTACCCTGGTGTACATAGTTTATATACACTGTCTCAAAAATGAGTGGGGGGAGGATGCCCAGACAGGAAGAAAGAAATGGGCAGGAGACAAGAGGTGAGTGTGGGCGATGAAGCTATCTGCCCGTGTGTACCGGAAGTGACATTACATTGCATTGCCTGCCTTTTTATTTTCTTTTGGTTTGGGTCTTAGTTTTAAGATTTGCATTTGTTATTTTTAACCATGTGCCTGTGTGTGGGTATGTGCACATGTGCAGATGCTAGAGGAGGGACCTGAAGTTACAGGCAGGTGTGAGCAATTTGAGGTGGGCGCTCAGAGCCAAACTAGAGTCCTCTGGAAGAGCAGTAAACATTCTTAATAGCTGAGCCATTCCTCCAGCCCCCTGGGTTTGTTTGTTTGTTTTTTGAGAAAGGTCTTGTGTATCTCAGACTGGCCTCAGACTTGCTATATAGCTAAGGATTGCTTTGAATTCCTGCTCATCCTACTATCATCTCCCTCGAAGGCATGCACTATCCTGGCTACTTTACGTTGTGCTGGGAGTCAAACCCAGGACTCTATGCATGCTAGACAAGGTCTCTACCAACCGAGTACACTCCGCCCGGCCTGCTTTGATGAATAGGAAACACACCTGCCAGTTGTGTCACATGAAGGTGGGGACTGAGTCCGGGTCCCGTCTTTGAGGGGCTGTGAGCCTAGAATAGAAGTTGAGAGGACCAAAGCAGCCACCTGCTAGGCCAAAGACAAATGGTGACAGGGACGCTGAACATTGTCCACCAGGGCTCTCTCGAGGTTAGTTTGGGTGATTGTGTTATTTTCTCCATCTGCATAGCGTGACAAAGGTGCAGGAAAGGGTTCGTGGCCCGGAAGCCCTTTGTTGCCCCAAGAGAGGTGAGATAAGGAAGGAGAAAGAAAACATCCTGATTGAGACACCAAACTTCCTCTGATTTCTCAGTGAAGGGATTCAGAGTAATAAGATGACCTGCAGCCAACATGGAAGTTCAGTTGTAGTTCGAACAGGTTCATCTGAAGACAGGACCTGCCAAAAGGCAGGGGCACAGCCAGGGCTTCGGCTTCCGTGCCAGCTTTGCCTCTGACCTTTTTGACTGTTTTCCCTCTGTGAAGTGACGGGAGATGGAGGTCTGAGATGGGATGAAGCCTTGCATTCGCTGCTCTTAGAATTTACCTGGTTTGCCAAGTACAGTGGCACTTAACAGTAGTAATTTCGCTTAGCGGGTAGAGGCAGGAGAATTGCATCATCAAGATCAAGCCCTATTCAGTCTGAATAGTGAATTAAAGTCTAGCCAGGGCTACATAGTGGGACCCAGTCTCAAAAAAGAAAATATAAAAGTTGGTTTTGTTTTCCTGTTAGGGCAAGCTGCTTTTCAGTTCAGCAGTCATTTCCAATATCTCACTTTCAATATCATTAATACTGGTTAGAAACTGAGGTGGAGCGACATTCAGAAATCTGTGCCTTGCTGGGGTTCTGCAGGGCTCTGCTAACTGTCTTAGTGTCTTCCGGGCAGGCCTTCTTAACCGATGACTTCAGAGATCGATAAAGCCCGAGCATCAAGAGGCTCTGAGCTGACCTGGGTGGGATCCCCAGGGAAGAAGCTGTGGGGGAAGAGGCGCCAGAGCAGTGGGCTGTGGTCTGAGCTTGCCTGTTGGGGGAGGGCGGCAAGTGGGAGGGGCGAGGGCCCTAGAAGAGGTAGGCGGAGATGTGAGGTCTGGGAAACGGTGTGGAACCGTGGAACCGGTGTGGAAACGTGGATTTAAGGAGGGGAGGGATGGAAAGAAAGGGAATGAAAGGGACCCTGGGTGAAGATGGAGGGAAGGGGAGGTTGGGGCTTCTTTTTCTTTTATCTTTCTTTTCTTTTTTCTTTTTTTTGGGGGGGGGGGCATGGTCTATTTATGTAATCCTAACTAGACTTTAATTTTCTATATAGGCCCAGATGGCCTCAAACACAAAGAGATTCCCCTGCCTCTGCTTCCTGAATGCTGAGATCAAAGACCTATGCCACCACACCCAGCAGAGTGGGAATCTTTCTTGTTTGTCTTCTTTTTAAAGGCTTATTTATTTATTTTATGTATATGAGTGCTCTATCTGCATGTATGCCTTTATGCCAGAAGAGGGCATCAGGTTGTGAGCCACCATGTGGTTTCTGGGAATTGAACTCTGGATGTCCGGAAGAGCATCCAGCCCTCTTTCCAGCAGAGCCATTTCTCCAGTCCCCTGAGTGGAGATTTCTAACCACAGGCTAGAATTGGGGGGGGGGGTTTCCAAGTGCTGGGCACCTTAGGGTTCTGTACCATAAGTTTGTATGTGCAGTTTTTCCTTTCTGGGTGAGGGACTACATCAGAATAAGAACACCTTTCTTCCGTCCTTTTGGCTTTCTTTTTTTTTTAATATTTTATTTATTTATTATGTATAGAACATTCTGCTTCCATGTATATCTGCACACCAGAAGAGGGCATCAGATCTCATAACGAATGGTTGTGAGCCACCAAGTGGTTGCTCACATGGGAATTGAACTCAGGACCTCTGGAAGAGCAGTCAGTGCTCTTAACCTCTGAGCCATCTCTCCAGCCCCCTTTAGGTTTGTTTAACCGAATATCCCAGTATCACAGAAAAAAAATATTTGCTGAATAGTTGAAGGAATACAGGAATGGTGATGCCCAGGGGTCAGGGCAGAGAAGGTGGAATTCCCACCCCAGGGTGCCCTGGGTCTTCTTCCTGGCCAGCAGACTAACCCCTGTGCTTCCTTCCCAATGTGAGATGGCCTTGGCTTCACTCCCTGTCCTCTCTTCCCAGATGGTGAAGGAACCGACCTATTTGCAGTAGCAGTTCATGAGTTTGGCCACGCCCTAGGCCTTGGCCACTCTTCTGCTCCCAACTCCATTATGAGGCCCTTCTACCAGGGCCCAGTGGGAGATCCTGACAAATACCGCTTGTCCCAAGATGACCGCGATGGATTGCAGCAGCTCTATGGTATGAGAGGGAGATGCCAGAGCCAGCCCCATCTGTAGCTTCCTTATGACCTATACACCGGTTCTGGGGAACCCATGTCTTTCTGACTCTCCCCACAGGGAAAGTGTCCAACAGCCCAAATGGCAAGCCCACAAGGAAACCCTTGGCTTCACCTCCACTGCCTCCAGCCTTGCCCCCTGACAGGTGAGTCCCCTACCAGCTGTGTGACCAGGTCCCTAACTCAGTGTCCTCTATGAAAAGGGGATGGAAGGGCTGGAGAGATGGTTCAGTGTTTAAGAGTACTTGCTGTTCTCTGAGGACCGAAGTTGAGTTCCCAGAACCCAGTTGCCCACAATTACCTGTAACTCTCACTCTGAAGGACACCTTGTGGCTCTCTTAGACAAACACAATAATAAAAAACAGGATGGGGACACTGCCCCTTTAGCAAAGCGACTGCCATGAAGTATGAATTCAGATCCAAAAGGGACAAGTGAAAGCCAGAGGCCTGGGTCTGTAATCCCAAAACTCAGGAAGGCAGAGACAAGCAGGTTCCTGAAGCTCACTGGCCGGCCAGCCTATCAGAATCAATCAACTCCAGGTTCAGCAAGAGAGCTTGACTCAAAAAATAACTTGGAAGCCAGGTGTGGCAGATGTCTTTAATTAATGACCAACTCTCAGGAGGCAGAGACAGGCAGATCTCTAAATTCAAGACCTGCCTGGTCTACACAGCAAGTTCTAGGATAGTGAGGACTTCATAGAGACCCTGTCTCAAAAAACAAACTCAAACCCAAAAAACACAAAGTGAAAAGCAATCAAGGAAGACGCGACATGCACTGCCAACCTTGGGCCTGCACTCATCCATACCTGCACATGCAACAGTACACACATATACACACATTGAACCAGCACACATACATGTACATGCACACATACCAGTACATACTCAAGCACATGTGCACATGCACCAGTACACACACACATACATGCATACATGTGCACTGGCACACACACATGTATATACATGCACACACACACAATACACACTCGAGCACACGTGCACATGCACCAGTGACACACACATACATGCATACATGTGCACTGGCACACACACATGTATATACATGTGCACACACACACACAATGCACAGGTGCACACGCACAGTACACACACAAGCACAAAAAAGACACAGATGGGAAGCATCCTGCCACACTAGTCAAGAGCCAGGAACAGGAGCCCTACCTCCTGTTTACTCTGCCGTTCCTCCCCAGCCCCTCCACACCTGTGCCTGACCGCTGTGAGGGCAATTTTGATGCCATTGCCAACATCCGAGGGGAGACCTTCTTCTTCAAAGGTAAGTCACGTCAAGTAGGATGGCCCTTAGATCTGCATAATTGGCTTCTTACACACTTCAGGTGACCCACCCAGGCTACCAAGTTTCCTGGGAGGGAGAGTGAAAAGAGTGTGTGTGGGGGGATTGGTATGGGGGAGACATCCTGGGCAAGCCATGAAATGATGGCCACAGATCTGCTTGATATGTAGAGGAATCCTCCCCCTGCCCAGCCACTCTCTGGGTTGGATAGAGGGACCTTAGGGAAGAGACAAGAGCTCTTACCTTTTTCTCTTCTTCCCCTGCAGGCCCCTGGTTCTGGCGCCTCCAACCCTCAGGACAGCTGGTGTCGCCCCGTCCAGCTAGACTGCACCGGTTTTGGGAGGGGTTGCCCACCCATGTGAGGGTCATCCAGGCTGCCTATGCCCGGCCCAGAGATGGCCGAATCATCCTTTTCAGCGGTGGGTAGGGGTCAATGGTACTGGATAGGGCCTGGCTGGTCTAAGGAGCACACCCCACACCCATACCCTCAGCCCCACGTTACCATCACGCCTCCCTCCTTCCAGGTCCCTGGTTCTGGGTGTTCCAGGACAGACAGCTGGAGGGCGAAGCCCGGCCATTGGTAGAGTTTGGGCTTCCCCCGGGAGAAGAAGTGGATGCTGTGTTCTCCTGGCCTCTCAACGGCAAGACGTACCTGATCCGAGGCCAGCAATACTGGCGGTATGACGAGGAGGCCGCCCGCCTAGACCCTGGCTACCCACGGGTCTTGAGTCTCTGGGAGGGGGCGCCCCCGTCCCCAGACGATGTCACCGTCAGCAACACAGGTGTGGAGAACACTGGAAGGCCTCATCTGCAAACTGTGGTCCCTGGGAGAGGGAAAGGAGGGGGCGGGGGATGAAAAAGGAATGGCAACTAAGGGGTGGTCCCGGGAGTTGGTGTGAAAAAAGGAGCAGTGGCTTGGGACAGGCCTGGACCAAGGCTCTGAGGTGTCTCCTCCCCTACAGGTGACACCTACTTTTTCAAAGGCACCCATTTCTGGCGCTTTGCGAAGGGCAGTGTCAAATCTGAGTCGGATTCCCCCCAGCCCATGGGGCCCAAGTGGCTGGACTGCCCTGCCCCCAGCTCCCCGAAAACGACACCTAAAACTGGAACCTGCAATTGTCACTGCGAGCTCAATCAAGCCGCAGAGCAGCCGTCTGCGACCCTCCTGCTGCCCCTCCTGCCCTTACTGGCTGGAGCTGTCTTTTCTTGCTGAAACCTGGTCCTTCCTAGGGGATCAGCTCTCTACACCGAAGGGAGCCGTAGTCTCCCGCAGGTGGACCTAGGGTCGTGAGACGCTGCCTGCGGAGTCTCTCTCTGTTTGCACTGAGGATTCCTAGCAGAAGCCTGCTGACACTTCAGGGGTCCCCGAGCCTGCTTTCTGTTAGGGCACGGGAGCTGTGGCCACAGTCAGGGCTACCGCCAGGGGGCGGTATGCCACCTTCCTCTCCATCTTCAAGAATGGTGCCTTGACCTAGCCAGTGCTCCGCCCTATCCCGTTGCTCCTCAGAGGCGACACCACACCTGCCTGGGGTTGTGTGCTGCCTTCTGCTGTGCTGACTTGTTTTCTGGGAATGCGCACTCCTCCGATTCTCTACAACTGGTCATTCTGGTGACAGTGGAACAGTGACTATACTCTGACTAGATGGTTAAATAGGACCAGGACATTGAACTCTAGTGCCTCCTGTAGCGGCTGAATGTGTTCCAGAGCCTTCTTACCATGTTGTTTCCCATGTCCCTTTACAGTCACGGGGTGGGGAGAAAGACTGAGCGCTGCTACCTCCCCTGAGGGTATGCTTCAAATGCCAGTTAACATCAGTGTTGACATGGGTCACCCTGAATTCAGGATTGCCCAATGGCATGACCATTGTTTCCTTCTGGAACAGCGAGGATCCAAATGCACAGTGATGCTGAAAAGACACGGACAGGACCTTCTCAGAGACGCTGTCGCTGCTACACCCTTCTCCTTGGCCCTTTTCTTCCCACATTTTAATTTTAGTTGTACCTGTGAGTACAGGAGCCTGAGGGGGCCAGAGGTGTTGGATCCTCTTGGATCTGGAGTGGTTGTGAGCCCTGGGTCACCACTGTAGAACTCATGTCCTCTATCAGAATAGCTTGAGCTTTAACCACTGAGTCATGATGCCTCCAGCCCCTGCACTGCCTTTCTAGCACTCCCAGGTGCCCAGTGATACAGGTGAGGAGTCATGAAACCTGAGGCAGCTTCCTTCAATCCAATGTCCCCATGGATTCAGGACCTAGGTCATTGGTTCTAGAGAATATTCCTCATCAGGTTCATTTTGTGGGAATTTATTTTTTTCAAGATGGTTTCTCTATGCATCCCTGGCTGTCCTGGAACTCACTGTGTAGTTCTGCCTGCTTCGGCCTCCGAAGTTCTGGGATTAAAGGCGTGTCCCAGCACCATCTCCTGTGAATTTAAGAAAGCAGATCCATTCCCTTGGCCTGAATCCTCCTTCTGGGGAAGGGGCCATGAATCTGCATTTTAACAAGTCAGAGGGTGGGGATGAGCCCTGAAGGACTGGGCACTGGTCTTCTCATAGTGCTGCCTTCTCTCCCAGGGACTGTCTTTTCGTGTTCTCTACAAGGTCAGGCTGGGGAGCCATCTATGTCTCTCTCAGATTCCTTTCCAAGTAAGAATGTACCAGATATCATGGAAATCTCTCCATTCTTGTTTTCTTGAAGTAGTGAATTCAGTCAAGAAGCATAGACAGTTTGATTAGTTTATTAAGACAAAAGAACCAAGCTGCACACTGGGCATTGGCGGTGCACACCTTTAGTCCCAGCACTCGGGAGGCGGAGGATCTCTGTGAGTTCGAGGCCAGCCTGATCTACAGAGCAAGTTCCAGGACAGTCTCCAAAGCAATACAGAGAAACCTTGTCTAAGAAGGAAAAAAAAAAAAAAACGAACCAAGCTAGCAAGCAAAGCACTCTGAAGAGACTGAGTAGGCTACCCTAAGTGGGAAGCAGCCTTATGGAGTAGACCAGTGAGAGTTTTTGTATTATTATGAATATTTATGAGGCAGATGGAATATTTATTGGATAATGTGATCCTTTCCCCATCCTGTTAGGGTAATTCCATTGTTAGCTCCCCAAAAGGAAGGCATGTCAGAAGGATTCAGAGCTTTCATTAGTGCAGATATATAGGTTGAGTGTCCTCGTGGTTTGGTTTCTGATACTATGGGGACAAAGTGACTGCAGTTTCAAGGATGTGCAGGCAAAAGGGGCAGTCTGACCATCAAGGGACAGTCGCCAAAATGCAGTTGTGTTTTTTTTTTTCATCACTTGCCTAGAATGGTCACTGGTGGAATCTGGAGGATTTTAGAGAAGCCATTCTTCTAGTATGCTTTTTCTTATGGGCCACCAACCAGCTCCCAAATCATGACATGGATACTTATCCATTATGATTGTTGGGCCTTAATTTATGCTTGTCCTCCTAGCTCTTATAATTTAAATTAGCCCATTTTTCTTCATATATGTTTGCTTGGGGCTTTTAACCTTTTTTTCATTCTGTATGTCCTACTCCTTGTCTTTCTGTCTGACAGTGGCCTGGCCCCAGGCATCTCCCTTTCTTTCTCCCTCCTTTTCTTATCTCCTCTCTCACAAACCTAGATCCCTCCTACTTAATCTCCCAGACCTGTAGCATGATAAGTAATAGACCCAGAGACTGATATTGGGGTTCAAGCTGAAAATCAGAAAAGCAAAGCAGCTAGCCACTAGCTCTCATCTCTACCTCAGACTGAAAGGAAATCCTGGCTCCACCAAACCTCAGACTGCAATCCCAGACTGCCATGCTCTCCTGAAGCTGTGGCTGAAGAATCCTGAGACTAACTACTGAAGACCCTGCTCCTATCTTTTATATCTCTCTAGTGCTGGGATTAAAGGCATGAGATCTGTTACTCTTTTAGACTGATTCAATCTTGTATAACCCTGGGTGAACTTGAACTTGGAGAGATCCATCTGCCTTTGTCTCCTGAGTCCTGGGATTGAAGGTGTGTACCACCACTGCCTGATCTCTATAGCCTGAGATTGACTTTGCTTTCAGAATCCTCAAGCAAGCTTTAATAAATCAAAAATATATTACCACACTGACCACCAGTCCCGTCTATCCCTCTACTGCCTAGCTATAGGCCATTCAGGGAGATGTGGCCTGACTTCTCCAGGCTGTAGAGTTTGGTTTCTTTCTCTTTTTTTCCTTTATTTCCTTTTCTCTTCCTTCATTTCCTTCTTTATCTCTTCCTTCCTTTCTTTTTTCTTTGTCTCTGACTCTCTCTCTCTCTCTCTCTCTCTCTCTCTCTCTCTCTCTGTGTGTGTGTGTGTGTGTGTGTGTGTGTGTTTGTGTGTGTATGTATCTGTCTGTCTGTCTCTCTTTTGGTTTTTCAAGAGAGTATTTCTCTGGGTAGCCCTGGCACTCTGTAGACCAGGCTAGCCTCCAACTCAGAAATTTGTCTCCCAAGTGCTGGGATTAAAGGCGTGTGTCACCACTGCCCAGCAGAACTTGGTTTCTTACAGTTACTGCTGTTCAAAGGCAGGTTGTGATGTCAGGTTGTGTGTGCTTGCAAACATACATGTGTGCCCCACAGGGCCTGTGTGGAAGTCAGAGGGCATCTTGTGGGAGCTATTCTTTCCTTCCTTCACATAGAATCTGGGGACCAAACTCAGGCTGTCATCAGGCTGCAGGGACAGTATCTCACCAGCCCTGCTCCACATTTAACTCCATAATCATGAGGTTCACTTATTTGGCCTGTAGAATCTCAACACAGGTGTAGCTCCTCCTCACTCTACCCCAAACTTGGGGACTTTAATTCACCCAGGGAAAGAGCTGACAGAGAAAAAAAAATCTCGAAGTCCAATTTGGTGAATCCATTGGGGCTACTTGCAGGAGCATGGGCAACTCACAAGCAGATCCACATCTGGAAATCTCAATGGTTGGTTTCTAACATCCTGTTTACTTTAGCATTTCATTATTATTATTATTATTATTATTATTATTATTATTATTTTGGTTTTTCGAGACAGGGTTTCTCTGTGGCTTTGGGGGCTGTCCTGGCACTAGCTCTTGTAGACCAGGCTGGTCTTGAACCCACAGAGATCTGCCTGCCTCTGCCTCCCAAGTGCTGGAACTAAAGGCATGCGCCACCACCACCTGGCTTCTTTATTATTTTAAGACCTGGTCTTGTGTAGCCTGGAATTCTCTCAAACTCACTACATAGCTGAGGCTGGTCTTAAACTACTGACCTCACATCATCATTTTTATTTTAGAATTCCTTAGATTATATATGGCTAGGAAAGGAGGAGGAGGTAGTCTCTTCCCACCCTCTCAGAAAGAATGTGAACAGCCCTATTGCCATAGGCCTGGCTATTAGCTATATGGTTGTTTATTTTGCTCCCACAGGCAACCACAGTAGCTCTGCTTCCTGGAGGCAGTGGTCACGTCAATCCTAGAGGGAACAGCCACATCACAGTAGCCCATACTACTTATTCATTGTAGATCGACAACAGAGTTTGATGAGGTTCAAGATACCAAGCTGGAAAGGGGGAGACTGAGGAAATTCAAGGAACTGTCGGCAAATGAGACTTACTTTATTTATCGGAACACAAGCCACACACACAGGCAAAGGACAACAGGGTAAAGGCACTCCCCCCGCCCCCCCCTTTTTTTTTCCTCCGACACAGGGTTTCTCTGTAGGTTTGGAGACTATCCTGGAACCCTGGAACTGTCTTTGAAGACCACAATTCCAGGCCTCGAACTCACAGAGATCCACCTGCCTCTGCCTGCCGAGTACTGGGATTAAAGGCATGTGCTACCACTGCCTCACACACCCTTTGATTTAAGGGCATATTTATACAAAATTCACACAAAAGTGGCATTCTGTATATTAATTACATCAATCCTTACTCTGGGGGCTTTCCTGGTATCAGCCATCATTTGATGCCTCAGAGTCCCTGGATGTCCTAGCCCCCTTTTACTCATTCCTGATGTCTATATTGTCTGTCTAAGCCTTTTGGCCCTGTGTCTTCTGTTCCCTGCAGGAATTTTTGATCAAATAAGCAAATGACCTGTGTACACCTGTAGTTATGATTATTATGGCGTCTGAGACAGGAGCATTTGAAGCCAGTTTAAGTTAGACACAGTCTCCAAACAAACAAACACAAACGAAAAGCAAGAGTGTCTCCTACATCCTATTGTAGAAGTTTTCCTGTCCTACAGCCACTCACAAACACCCTGCACATTTTATTAATTATCAATGCTCAGTCAATACCTCAGGCTTGTTACTAGCTAACTCTTACATTTAAATTAACCCATATTTCTATTTATGCTTTGCCACACGGCTCATGGTGTGTTATCTCATTTTCTATACATCCTGTTTGCTCAGAAGCTGGCTGGTGTAGTCCGAGACTCTCCTGACTCTGCCCTTTCTCTTCACATCATCTCTTTGTGTCAGTCTGTCTCACCCTATCTCTTCTTGCCCTGCTACCAGCCAATAAGTTTTTATTAACAATGAGTTTAATCTACAGCATCCTATGACACAGAAAGTGGACAGGCTAACTGAAATTCTCTGAGGGTCGAAGTGTGCTGACCTAGTCCAGGGGATCACTGAGCACTTACTATGTACCAGAAAGAGTTCACCACAAACCTAGTACTGCATAGTGACCAGTGTCCACTTTACACACAGTAGAGATGATGCAACCTTCCAAGGGTTTCCACATAGAACTGTCAAAGAAGATCCAGACAAATACTTGCTTCCTTTAAAGCAACTTTTATTAGGGAGCCTAGGACAAGAGCAACAGAATAGACATACAGGGGAGCAAGCTACACAGAGTAGCTCCAATAGAGAAAATGGAAGGGACTTGAGAACATTCTCTACAAGACATTAGAAAAGGGCAGGCTCGCACTGTTACCTACACCTACTTGGACATGTTTCAGATGAATAAGTTTTTCAGGAATTCCTATAAAACAAAGTAGTGGCCGGCTTGGCATAAATAACAAAGGCATTAAAATTTTCCTTCACTGTCTTTTCGGCATAACAAACTTAACAAAGGCATTTAAAAATTTCCTTCAACTTCTTAAAGAAATGCTGGATTTTGCACCAAATCCATTTTAGAGCTTTGGGCTGATCTTGGCTCTTCTGTTTGTCCCAATCTCCCTTGGCCTCATCTTGGCTATCTTTGGTCTTGTCTTGGCTCTGATCTTTAGCTTTGCTGTGTTCTCTCACAGCTTGACTCTCTTTGGTTTGGCTCTCTTCCATCTGGTTTTGGTTTTGATCCTTAGCTTGGGTCAACACGGCCTGGGCTATGACTTCTTCAGCCTGGTCTAGGACATCTTCAGCCTGGTCTAGGACCTCCTCAGCCAGGGCTTTGGTCAACTGACCCTGGGCTAGGATCTCCTTAGCCTGGGCTAGGACTTCCTCAGCTTTGACTAGGATCTTCTCAGCATGGGCTTGGGTCAACTCATTCTGGGCTTGTGTCAACTCAGCCTGGGCTCGGATAACCTCAGCCTGGACTAGGATCTTCTCAGCTTGGGCTCGGGCCAACTCAGCCTGGGCTTGGGTCCGCTCAGCCTGGGCTAGGATCTCCTCAGCCTCATTCCTGGTCTCCACTTCCCCAGCTCTGTCAGAGAGACTCTGGTAGGAAAGGATCACAGGTTAAAGGCCAAAATCTTCACTTTTGTCCCCCAAAATCTGTTCCCGGACCTCGTAATCCCCTTAAGTGGCACCAGCTAGGACTTGGAGACCAGTTAGCCTGGGATCTCTGCCCTGTTCTCATTGTGATGTAGGATGTGGACACCGCCTTTAGTCTGCAAGGCCTCTGTGTTCCCACTAGGCTATCACCTAGCACAGCTGTGAACTGAGAAGGTGATGAACTGCAGGAGTCTGTGTGTGAAGGACGGGCAAGCCCGAGAAAGCAGCTTCTTCCCTGCGCTGGTACAAACTTTCTCCAATTTTGTTTAATTTACTTAAGGCTTTTTGAGACCGTTCCTTTTGGGAACAGACTCTGTAGTCCAGCTTGCCTAGTACTTACTGTCATCCTCCTGCCTCAGCCTTCTGAGTTCAGGGATTACAGGAGAAAGCTAGCACACCTGCTCTATACAGTCATTTCTGGCATGTAGATCAAGGAATCCTGTCTGTCTGTCTGTCTGTCTGTCTGACTTTTTCTTTCTTTCCTTTTTTTTTTTTTTTTTTTTTTTTTTTTTTTTTTTTTTGTCTGTTTGTTCAGCCAGAGGTCTTATAGAGTAGCTCTGGCTGAAAGAGGCCTGAAACTCATTTTGTAGACCAGGCTGGCTTTGAGTTCACAGAGGCCTGCCTCTGCATCTTGAGTGCCTGGTCTAAAGAGGCATGCTGCCACACCTGGGCAGACCAAGTTTGTTCATGAAAGCACAGATGTGAATGTTATAAGATACAGAGTTGGGATCATGGTGCCAGGTCATCCTTCCTCTTGGGTCCCAGAACCTCCTCAGCATCACAGAAAAACAAGGGTCAGCAGAACTCTGGACCCACACACCGAACAGTCTGGCCAATGTGAACCTCTGCTGTCCCAGGGATCACCTTTTATCTGTGGAAATAATGTGCACTCTGCAGCTTCTGTGACCTTTGCCACCTTCCAGCCAGCCACAAATGCTGCACACCCTATCCTACACACCACTGCACAGAGACACGCAAGGATGAACATCATGAAATGTGCTGGCTCAGATTGCTTCCAGCACCCTGACCAGCGATGTTTGGAACAATCTGAGAAGCTTGCCCTCAAAGATCACCTGTATCTTCTGGGCCTTGGGATTCTCAGCATCTGGGAAACTCAGAGTAACCCCGGAGTCTGTGTCACACATGCTCCCCATCAGAGAAGAGGAGAGGAGAGGAGAAGCCTGTGGGTATGGAGGCTGCTCAGGGCTGCGGCTCAAGATGCTCAGCCCAGGGCCTGGCTCTCCAGGCCCTCAGATTGCTGAGGCCACCTCACCTCTGTGAGAGTCATGTGGACAGAAGTCAGTTTCCTAAGAACACTTCCACAGACACACAGCCTTTTCCTACAGCCTCTGCCCTAAATTTCCTCTACAAGAGGCCAAAGCTATTTGGACATGAGTTTGCACACACAGAGCTGCCTTTCCTTCTTTATTTTTACTTATTTATTTTTGATTTTTCGAGACAGGATTTCTCAGTGTAACAGTCCTAGCTGACCTAGCACTCATTCTGTAGACCAGGCTGGCCTCGAACTCACAGAGATCTGCCTGTCTGCCTCCCGAGTGCTGGGATTCGATACCACTGCCTGGCTATCCTCATTTCTTAACTATAAGCCTGGTCACTCAGTGTCTCCGAGTTCCTTTTCCCAACCTTATAAAATCATGCACCCACCCTGCAGTCTGTCCTATATCCAGGACCTGCCTTGTCATTTGCAGGACTCAAAGAAAGAAAAGTTTGACCCTCTATTCAGTGATGACTCAGAATGTTAGGCGGCATGGACCACATGATGACCATTGCTGCTTGAAAAAGATCTATCATTTCGACTTTTCAGATCACAATTCCCCAGCACTTTTTTTTTTTTTACTTTCATTTTTAATGATTCTACTATATGTTGTGGAGTTCCCTTATGTCTTTTCCTTTGGGAAATTTGTTCAGGCCTTGAAGGATGAAGATGTATAAAATGGCAGCCTCTTTAAACAAAAATAATTATCTGGAAAAAATCCCCACCATTTTGGAACATAGCATGATAACTGTCTCCCCTATTCAAGTTAAAACCAAGCTGCTTGAAAATTTAGAAAAATAACATTTGCTTGATAAATAAGTTATACTTGATAAGCAAGATTTGTAAATTCCTAAGGTCTACTCAGGTTCACAGAAAGAAATGTTTGTCTGGACTCATCTTTGCTCACTATTAAGCTTTAGTTAATTGGATAGACTAAGCCATACAAGAAACTATAATATTCTATATTGTCTGATCCCCTAAGAAAGCCTTTTTTTTCCAAGGCCAGGCATTTAGACAAAAGTCCCCATCCTCTCAGGGGCTTGAAGAAAGTCCCTGCTTACTAAAAAGGAGACATTCCTATCTCTGGCAAGAGGAACTTGTGGTCCTCTATTAACAAATGACTGGAGCCAATGCTAGCTTTCTCAATCCCAGTTCTCAAGCGAGACCGAAATTCACACGCCCCTTTTCTCCCATTTAATCCTATGTGCAACTATAGGTATAGAATAAAAGGTGTAGTCTTTTTTTTTTCTTGAAGTGCGCGGGCATCCATCCCAGTTCACCCTTAGATTCTGTCAATCTCCCTCCTCCACCGCCCCCAGGCGACTCCACACATTCTCTTTAGGACCTGAACCCCCACCAAAGCTGGTCTCTAGCAGTTAGGACAGGACAGTGACAGCAGAGCAGTCACCTAGGTGAGAAGGGACAATGGAGACACTGTATTAGAATCCTGACTAAAAAGTGGGTTTTGTCCATGACCTTGGCTCCCAGCAATTCCTCCCTGTAAGGATTCAGGCATTATGCTGGCCTGCCCCGTCACCTGGCAGAATGCACTCAGGCAGTGCCCTGGTCAGCCCAGGGTTCCATGATTGCGTAGTCTGCACGCAGGTGGAAAGGACCCCTCTAAAAGACAGACACTCGCCCACTTATGGTCTCTTTTCTGCTCCCCTCTTGCCCGTTGTTCCCCTGGGGCAGACAGGACTTTTCCTGACTCCCTCTTCTCTTCTGTCCTCTCTCTGTCTCTGTGTCTCTTTGCCTCTTCTCTCTTCCCTCCCCTCGCTGCCATGGAATCCGACAAGGTCTTTATCATAACACTCGCCATCCAAGACTCAAGGAGAACTGAGGGAGACGCTTCCAGCACCCAGCCCCATTGCCTTCTCTCACTCACCTTGGTGCCATCCATAGCTCATCAAGGTTCAGGGCCGAAGACTGTTCAGAAGGAACAAAGGAGAGAGAAAATGCATTAGATGAATTCCTGGGCACCATCCCAGAGAGTCATGGGCCTCAGGAATGGAGTCCCAGCTCCCTCTAGTAGGACATTGCTACTGACCTTGTCCGCGGGGCTCTGACCTCCACTAAGACTGTCACCATCCCCTTCTTCTCGTCCCAGACCAAAGGCTAGCTAAAGTCTGCCTAGGAGGAAGACCTTGACTGTCCTGATCCCAGAGGAGGGAGGAAGGAAAGATTGGGCTTCCCTGGGCGGGAGACTCCTTCAGAGAGAAACAGTGGAAGGGAAGGGAAAGAGAAACACACAGAGGCAGACTGAGGCGGGGAAAGGCACCTGACCCACAATAGGACACAGGAAAAATGAGTCAGAGTCCAGCTGCTCACCCCTCTTCAGGGCAGCGGGGTTAGATAGGAATGTGGCTCAAAACAGACTGCTTTCTTTAGCGTGGGCCACATCCTGGGCTGACCCCACTCTGAAACAAAACAAGAAAAGATCCTGACTTGGAGGAGCCGATTTGGACGAGGACCACAGCCAGGTCTGTGGGTCAGAGGGGAAGCCTCACCAGGCTCTTGCTGCAGCTGCTGGATGAGGAGCAGAACCTGTCAGGCACTGGAGTGGGCCTTTGGGTTTTAGGGTGTCTATTGCTGTGAAGAGACACCATGACCTCAGCAACTCTTATAAAGGAAAACATTTCATTGGGGTGGCTTACATTTTCAGAGGTTCAGTCCACCATCCTCATGGTGGGGATTGTGGCAGAGTGCAGGCAGACATGGTGCTGGCAAAATAGCTGAGAGTCCTACATCTTGCAGGCAACAGGAAATGGTCTCAGTATCACACTGAGGGAAGCATGAACAAAAGAGACCTCAAAGCCCACCCCACAGAGACACGCTTCCTCCAACAAGGTCATACCTACTCCAACAAAGCCACACCTCCTAATAGTGCCACTCCCTGTGAGCTCATGGGGGTCAATTACATTCAAGCTACCATAGTGTTGGAAGCCACAGCCATGTCATTCTCCTAGGGGACAGAATGGCCCTCAAGAGGACTGAAGGCAGCCTGGACTCTACTCAGCTAGGCTAGCTCTCCTGTCCATCTTCTGCCATGGCCTGAATTCTGAGGCCCCTTTCTGACATGTGGACAGTCCTCCACCTATTCCACTGACTGGCCTCACATGACCAGGTCTTCTTCATGCCCCAGATTTAGACCAAAGATTCTCCCATATCTGCTCAGGCATTATGTGGCCTTCTGTATTGTTCCCCCAGGCAGAGGGAATGATCTAACACCAGACTACTCGACAGAATTCAGCCTCTGGACGTCTATAGCAGTCTATAGGCACCGTCCAAATCAAGGTGTGGATAGCTAATACAGGTGCCCCCGAGTGTCCAGGTGGAAGGGGCTGTTCCTGGCTTCTCTCATAGCTTGTAGAGGACACTGTCAGGATCACAGGGTATACACTGTGCTGAGAGAAAATGCCCAAATCTCCCCAGTTTCCCCGTTACAGGATCTTTTCCCCTGGTTGTGAGTGTGGGTGGCACAGGGAGCCCTGAATGAGAACATCCTGAGTGAATGTGTGTTGTATTCACAGCCATGACCAAGACCAAGAGCTCCACGCAGTCCCCATGTACCAGGCTTGAAGTTGACAAAGCTTCCTTTCCTCTGGCCCAATTAAGTTTAAAAAATGGTTGGATTACACAACATCTAGCAACTGCTGCTCCCCCTCACCCTGGATGTTTCCTGCCTAAAACTGCTGCCCTACAGAGACCTTGGACTGAGCTTAGCCAACCCCTCCCACTGTGCTGTACATGATAAACTGGCTGAGATTTCGGAGTGTGCTGATAGTAGGTGCAAAAGATGATTTTTCAATTTTATGTTTAAGCAGGTAAAATAGCACATTACATGTTTTGTAGGTTTTTTTTTTTTAGGTTTATTTCTTTATGTTTTTAGGCAAGATTTTCAAGGTTTCTTCCTTGATCAAACTTGATCATCCTACCCTGGAATGCATCCACAGCCTCTCATTTCCTGTGGGAATAAAAGCATAACCTTTTCTGCAAATTAACACACATTTTGACTTAAATTTTGAAGTCAAGATATTCTTAAAATATCTTGCCAGTCTGGTTTACAGAGGGAGTTCCAGGACAGGCTCCAACGCTACACAGAGAAACCCTGTTTGGAAAAACATGTATGTGTGTGTGTTGGTTTAATACAACAACTTTAAAGTTTTTTTTTAATTTTTCCAGACAGGGTTTCTCTGTGTAACAGTCTTGGCTGTCTTGAAACTCCTGCTGGCCTCAAACTCACAGAGATATGCCTGCCTCTTCTTCCTGAGTGCTGGTACTAAACACGTGTGCTATCACTGCGGCACAGACAAAAAACTTAAAGGCAACATAATAACATACTGGATCTAGACTCTTTATTTTACATCTTTTCATAACTTTTTAAAAAATTCTTTACTCCCTTTTTAAGGACTTTATTATTTTAAAACTATATTTTTTTCGGGTGTTGGTGGCGCACGCCTTTAGTCCCAGCACTTGGGAGCAGAGGCAGGAGGATCATTGTGAGTTCGAGGCCAGCCTGATCTACAGAGTGAGTTCCAGGACAACCTTCAAAGTAATACAGAGAAACCCTGTCTCAAAAAACAAACAAACAACTCATATTTTTTATGATTTTCTATAACCCCTTTTTTCTTCTCCCAAGTCTTTGTACATTTTAAACCCAGAGTAACCTATCTAAAAGTTTTTTCCAATTGGATCTTTCTTTACTGCATATCTGTAATCTTTTTCTGACCACATGAGCCTTTAAACTACTAAGCAGTGTGGCTAGGACCTCTACCTCTGCTTTGGTGGCTGGCTCCAACGCATAGCTTCTGATGAAGGTACTAGCTAGAGCAATGCACCAGCTCTGGGGAGTTTTGGGGTCCATGTTGCTACTGAGTAGCACGCTTCCAGCTGCGCATAAACCCCATACAAGTGTTTGGTAGCAGGACCTCCGCAAAGGGCCTGTTTACTACAGCGCGTGCCCAGTGGCTCCAACAGTAGGGGCGGAGACAGCCAGAAGAAGGGGTCTTCCTTGGCCCTCCTCTTAGCCATATACTACCTGTGATACTACCAGCCTGGGGGCTTTTGTGCATGTCACATCCTGGAAACCAAACCTCTGTTTAGATTAGAAGGTAATCTTGGGCTGTCAACTTGATTGAATCTGGAATCAATAAAACACAATCTGGCGGGGGCTGGAGAGATGGCTCAGAGGTTAAGAGCACTGACTGCTCTTCCAGAGGTCCTGAGTTCAATTCCCAGCAACCACATGGTGGCTCACAACCATCCATATTGAGATCTGGCGCCCTCTACTGGTGGTGTGCATATATACATGGAAGCAGACTGTTGTATACATAATAAATAAATAAATAAATAAATAAATAAAATCTTAAACACACACACACACAATCTGGCGTGAACAAAGTAAGACTTGATCAGGTCATTTGAACTTTGAAGACTCACCCTAAATATGGGCATTAATTTCTGGTGGCTGCCAAAATAAAAGGGTTTGGGAAAAAAGATTTGCCTTTGGTTTGCTTGCTCTCACTCTTGTTGGCAAGTTCATTTCTTGTTGCTGCCACTGCTGTATTCCTTGTTGATAGTAGACTATGTACCGGCAGCTCTCTGGGGATTCTGCCCGAATTTAGAGCCAGATAGGAACTGCTGAGCTATCTGGTCTCATGGACTGAGAAACTTGTGAGTTCTCGGCCTCCCCAGTGTGAGACAGCCATAAAACTCCCTGTAGTATACATTCATTCTATCCATTCTGTTCCACTATGGAATCCTGAGTGATAAGGCCTGTGAATAGTCTGAGTCCCACACATTTCCTTAGCTGCAAGGGACAGCCCATCACCCATCATAAGCCAACCTTTCTTTGTCCTTGGTCAAGGCCTGCTCCAGGAAAACGTTTCCTCAATAGAAGTGTAACAGCTCTGCTCCAGCAGCAGAGGGCGTCCCCAGCGAAGGTGTTACAGCTCTGCTCAGGTCCCTGGAGTGTGACAACTCTGCTCCACTAAGGGAAAGCTTCCCCAGTCAAAGCGTTACAGTAGTTCTGCTTCATTCCCGAAAGCTGTTACAGCTGGGCTTCCCTCCATGAAAATGTCACACCCCACAACAAAGAATTTATTGGTGAGGAGAATCCCGGAGGGTGGCTGCCTCAGGTGAGAAACAGCCCCAAACTGAACAGGGTACAGACCTCATGTGGGATTTCTTTGGGGCCTGATGGGGGTCGAGCTTTCCAGGGTGGCTTGAGATTGCTGGACTTTAGCATCCTGATTCTAGGACAAACTCAGGGATTGGTGGGATTTCAAGCCCTGGTCCTGGGGTCAAGTCAAGGCCAGGGTGTTCTTTCCTTGGCCCTTCTTACTCTACACTGCTACAATGAGATCACCATAATGAGAATCCCTGAGAAGTGAGATGACCTTATCACTGTTCTCTCTGGCTTTTTCTCTTTAAGGTATTGCTGAGACTGGAGGTGGCTGTGATGTCACTCCATGGCTCTGTACTGGATCACTGAAGGGAGAAAAATCTGCCCAGTACCTTTATTGGTAGAGTTGTATCATCCCTTCCTGAAAAGGCTCACCCTAGTTTCCTAAAGTGAAGATGCTCTTATGCTGCCGCAGGCCTCTCCTCACAATGACCATGAAAGAACAGGGACCCTTGGCAAGAATCACAGCAGGACAAGCACTTAGAAACCAGCTTCCAGTGTTTATTGGAGTATTGGGTTTGAAAGCAGTGTATCTGAAGCTGCAGCAGCTTGCTTCCAGATGTTCTCAAGGCAAAGTGTGGTGAACACCAGCGGTAGCTGTGGGATTAGACTCCAGGGGAAGTATGGAGAGATGCACCAGTTAGGGTGAAACCTGCAGGCAAAACAGCTGGGGGTGGAGACACAGGCCTTTACTCTGGCACTCGGGAAGCTGAGATAGGAGGAAGTCTGTGAGTTCAAGGCCAGCCTGGTCTACATAGTGAGTTCCAGAGCAGCTAGGGCTATGTAGAGAGTCACAGTCTCAAAGAACATAAATAGATAGATAAATGAATGAATGAATGTACAAAAATGGTTATAGCCAGCAAGGATCATTCCTTATTTGGAGGTGACATTCCTGGGAGTATGTACATAGAGACCTCTGTCGAAATGAAGTCACATGGGGCTGCCCATTCTGAACTGTTTCATTGTATAACAAGCTGACAAAATCTAAACTCAAGGGAAAAACACAACAAAAAACCAACCTCTTACATTGGCTGGTGGGCCAAGCACCTCTCTTCCCTGGTCTTTGGCTAATAGGCCTAGCTCCTAATCTTTTATTTTGTTGTTGTTCTTAAAGACAGGAACCAGATTGGTATCAAACTTCCTGTGTAGCAGAGACTGGCCCTGAACTCATGATTCTCCTACCTCCACTCCCCTTCCTTGGCTCTATTGTTTCTTCTTCTTTTTTAAAGATTTTATTTATTTATTATGTATACAACATTCTGCTTCCATGTATATCTGCACACCAGAAGAGGGCACCAGATCTCATTGTAGATGGTTGTGAGCCACCATGTGGTTGCTGGGAATTGAACTCAGGACCTCTGGAAGAGCAGCCAGTGCTCTTAACCTCTGAGCCATCTCTCCAGCCCGGCTCTATTGTTTCTTAATATTTATTCTTACCTCCGAGTGTGTCTGTGCACTTCATACATACAGTGCCCTTGGAGGCCAGAAGAGGGCTTCAGATTCCCTGGTATTAGAGACAGTTGTTAGCACCATGTGGGTGTTGGGAATTGAACTTGGTTCCTCTGAAAGAATGCCCAGTGTTGGGCTAGGGAGACGGCTCAGAGGTTAAGAGCACCAACTGCTCTTCCAAAGGTCCTGAGTTCAATTCCCAGCAACCACATGGTGGCTTACAACCATCCGTTATGAGATCTGGTACCCTCTTCTGGTGTGCAGATATACATGGAAGCAGAATGTCTTATACATAATAAAATCTTTTAAAAAAAGGCCAGTGTTGTTCACCCTCCCTCCCCTGCCCCCGCCAGGGTTATATCTTCAGGGCCCCTTGGGGTTTTTTGTTGCTTAATTTTTTTTTTTTTTTTGCAGTCTTTTTCATAAAGTTTGTTTCTTTTTTTTTTTTTTTGAGGCAGAGTTTTTCTAGGTAGCCCTGGTGGCTGTCCTGAAGGCTCTGAACCCTTTCTCTGCCTCCGGAGTGCTGGGATTAAAGGCTTATGCCACTACACCTGACTTTACACTGGGTCTTGTTATGCAGTGCAGGCTGGTCCCAAACTCAAGATCCTCCTGCATCCATGGTGTTGGGATTACAAGCATAAGCCGTGTATTTGTTCCTGCTCTTCTTGTTTTTTGTTTTGTTTTGTTTTGTTTTTTAACAGGTCTGAGAACTGAGTCCAGGGCCTTACTCATGTTAGGCAGACGCTTTTCCCGTCCTCATTTCACCTTTTAGACGAGGTCTTCAATGTTGCTCAGGTGGACTCTGTACTCAGGCCAACATTGAACTTGTCATCCTCCTTCATCAGGTGTGGAATCACCAAGCCAGGCCCTATGTCCCTTAGAAGGATGCATCTCAGGCTCTGTCCCCTTCAACAAATCAACATAATGCCTGGTACACATTTATCTTGATAGATACAGTTTAACCCTGAGGGTGCTCACTCCCCAGCCTCCTCGCTGACTAATCCTTTCTGTCTGATGTTTCCTTCTCCAGGGCTTTTAATGAAATAAAGTATTCTGTGACAACCAGGTAAACTCTACTTATACCCTAGCCTCCCCAACCTCCTGAGGCTCGTACCTTGTGTCAGATTGCTGCTGACTGGGCCTAAGATTCATCTCAGGGTTGAGGAGCATCTCATTAGTTTAGCACAGACCCAGCACGTGGGGTCTCTAGGTTTGATAGCCAGCAACATGTGTGCATGGGTGTCCATGTGTACACACACACACACACACACACACACACACACACACACACACACAGTGTGTACTTCCCCCATTATTTATGGTCAGCTCTTGGTGCAGAGCCCTGGGTGGAGCTCAGTTCCTGCTATGAAATAGCATTGTTTCATGGAGAAGTCCCCATTAAGAAACAAGAACCAAAATTATACCAAAATATGTCTTTTCCTTGAAAGGCAGCCAATTTCAAAAACAGGAAAAGCACATGACAGAAGCCCTAGAGTCATACTTCTAACTCCTTCCTTTTTCTTATCCCGTTTTTACAAATTTTTACAAGTCACCTGATTTACAGGCAAGGACACAGCTTAGACTTCCCGATGTGTGATACGGATATCGGGCCAATATCCAAACCAGCATTGGATTATGGATGGTTAGCTGGTCTCAACACATAGCCAATTTGCCTTGCTAGCAGGTTTTGCTCAAAGGCTGGCATTGTTACAAATGCTCCAGGTCAAGTTTCCCAGCGCACCGCAACTTAACCCTAGATTCTATCTTAATGAGTTCCAAGAGCTGCAGGGCCTGAGATGTTATTTTGGACCTGTTACTCTCAGCCTCCTGTCACTGATGCCACCCTTACCTTTTCAGTCTACTAGAGAAACTTCTGCAGTCATGAAGGACAAAGATGGAACCATGTCACAGCGGGGCATGTGGTCACTGATGGCAGTTTGCTAGTCTTAAATAAAAGCCAGAAGAGGATAGCTTAGTGCTACAGACCTTGTCTAACATGGTTGAATCCTCAGCAGAGGGGAAGCAGTTCATCTGGTTGAGTGTTTGCCTTGAAGATCCTAGGTTTGATACCTAGCAGTGCATAAACCATACACTGGGCATATCTATAATCCAAACGTTCAGGTAGAGGCAGGAAGACCAGCAGTTCAAGGTCACTCTAAGCTATACAAGACCCTGCCCTGAAAAAAAAAAAAAAATCAGGACCAATTTTGAGAGGGTAACTTTACTTAAAGCATCCGAAAACACATTCCTGGGGTCAGGGAAAAGAGGTCAAAGGTGGGGACGAAAAATGTGGAGGAACCAAGAGGAAGTATGTGTGAAGAGGACGTCATAGGGAATCTTATTCATGCAGGCGGTGCATACAGAACAAGGCTGCTGGAACACAGGTGAGGCTAGTACAGCGTCTCCCGGGCGTGGGTTCGCAGGTGGCGCAGCAGGTGCGAATTGCGGCTAAAGCCACGGCCACACAGCACACAGGAGTAGGGTCTTGCGCCTGTGTGGACCAGTAGATGGCGTAGCAAGTTGCAGCTGCGACTGAAGATCTTGCCACACTCTGGGCACTCCTGGGGGTCTTCCATCTCTTGCTTTGACGCTGTGTGTGTGACCAGGTGGCGCTGTAGGTGCGCATTGCGCCGGAAACTGCGACCGCAGGTTGGGCAACTGTAGGGCCGTTCACCCGTGTGGCTGCGGCGGTGGCGGGCCAAGTTGGAGCTGTTTCGGAAGCGGTGACCACAGGTGTCACAGGCGTGGGGCTTCTCTCCCGTGTGGATGCGTTGGTGGCGTGCCAAGTGGGCACTCTGGCTGAACCCCTCTCCACACTCGCTGCATCGGCAGGGCTTCTCTCCTGTGTGGCAGCGCAGGTGGCGGGTCAGGTCTCGCATTTGGGTGAAACTTTTGTCACACTGGCCACAGTGGTAAGGCCGGAGGCCACCATGGGTCAACAGATGGCGGGCAAGGCCCGCACGTCTCACAAAGCGCTTGCTGCACTGGGGACAGACGTGAGGCTTCTCACCTGTGTGCACCTTCTGGTGGCTGATCAGCTGAGAGCTTTGGGTGAAGCAGCGGGCACAGGCATGGCAGGAAAAAGGTCGTTCGCCAGTGTGGACTCGCTTGTGGGTCATCAGGTGCTCGCTTCGTCGGAAAGCCTTACCACAGTCACTGCACACATAGGGTTTGCTCTCCTGGCAAGAGCTAAGGCTGCCAGGGTCTTCCGAGGACTGATGGTCCTTGCCCTTTGCATGGATGCGCAGGTGACGCTTCAAGCTAGAGCGCCTTTGGAAGGTCTGCCCGCAGTGGGAACAGAGAACAACTGCCTTCTCTGGCACTTTTCTCTTGCCTTCTGGGTCTGCCTTGGGATTTTGTTCGTGGGAATGTGCCAGCAGGTGCCGTATGAGGCTGGAGCGACGCTGGAAGCCCTGATCACACTCAGCACACCGGAAGGCAGGCTCGGAGGAATGTGTTAGCATGTGCTTCGCCAGATGAGACCTCTGGCGGAAACGGTGGCTGCAGAGGTGACAGGCGTGTGGCCGCTCATCGGTGTGTATTCGCACATGCAACTTGAGGATGGAGCTGCGCCCAAAAGTCTTCCCGCACCACAGACACATGAAGGACCGAGAGCTTGACTGAGATCGAGAGCTTGGCTGAGATCGAGAGCCCGAGTGAGACTGTAGCTGATGGGCCTGTAGGCTGGACGACTGCGGGAAGTTCACTCCGCACTCTGAGCATATAAACTGCGACTGTGTCTCGGACTCTGTGGCATCTGCAGCTGCGCTCACCTCCACTGCAGCGTCACTGCTGCCAGCAGGGGTCCCTTCCCCGACAGCACTTGCCTCCTGCCCCAGTGTCTGGGAAAGAGGCTCTTCTGTGACTCCAGGGCCCTCAGCCTGGGACTCTGATGAAATGATGACAGGCCAAATAGTCGCTTTAGGCTCTTCAACTTTAACTTCCTCCTTGTCAGGCACTCTGCTCCTAAATTCTGGGAAAGAAGCAAACACAGATGGCTAGAAATAGTGGTGTGCTCCTTTAATGCCAGCAACTTGGTAGACAGAGGCAAGCAGATGTTTGAGTTTGCTGCTAGCCTGGTCTACATAGACAGTTCCAGAACAGCCAGGGCTACATAGAAAGACCCTGCCTCACAAAACAAGAACAAGGGGGGGGGGCGGAGTATGTGAAGGAAGAAGAGGAAAGGGGGGAGGAGGTGGAGGTGGAGGAGGAGAAGGTGGCTGTGGCCGCACAGTTATCAATAGGGTCTTTCTGAAAGCTCTACTAGGAATCATCAAACTCTGATGGGTCCAGAAGTGGAAAGAAACCCAGGGTCCTATAAAACTGGTGATGGGCAGAGCCTGAGGACAAATAAGAATGTCTTTGTTCGACAGGTGGTGGCAGCACTCTAATTTAATCCTGGCACTCAGGAGGCAGGGCAGGTGGATCTCTTTGAGTTCAAGGCAAGCCTGGTTTACAGAGTGAGTTCCAGGACAGCCAGAACTGTTACACAAACCCTGCCTCAAAAAACCAAAAACCAAACAAACAAAAAACCAAATCAACAAAAAGTCTTTGTTCTCTACTCCCTGATTCCCTGCTGTTTTTTCAGTTCCCATATTGCCTACTTGGAATCCCACCTCCTCAGCCTCCCAAATGCTGGAATCACATCGTATACCACACACCTGGTTACATCACATCCTTTTAAAGTGTATAGTTTAGGTCCATAAAATATATCCACAATGTCATACAACAATCAGGGTTATCTCATCTCTTTTAGTTCTATTTCTTGACCACTTTCCCCCATTTTTCTGTATATAGATGTTTTCTATACATGTATGTACATGCAACACAAGCATGCAGTGCCCATAGTGACCAGGAGAGGGCCTCAGATCCTCCTGGAATTAGAGTCAGTTATGAGCCGTCAATGGACGCTGGGAATTGAGCTACAATCCTCTGGATGATCAGCCAGTGCTCCTAACTGCTGAGCCATCTCTCTGGCATCCCACCCCTACCCTTTTTGTTATTGGTAATTAAACCTAAAGTCTTGTGCTTGCTAGGAAAGTACTCTAACACTGAGCTACACTTGCAACCTTTAAATACCTATTTAAAGCTCAAAATTAAGAAACATAGCTGGGTGTTGTAGTGCAGGCCTCTCTAGCCCTACCACTCAGGTGGCAGAGTCAGGAGGATATTGAGTTGAAGACCATATCTAGGAATAACAACCGCTGATCCCAGTAGTGGTGGTGGTGAACGCCTCTAATCCTAGTGCTTGGGAGGCAGAGCCAGGTGGATCTCTGTGAGTTTGAGGCCAGTCTGGGCTACAGAGTGAGTTCCAGGACAGCCAGAGCCTCACAGAGAAAACCCGTCTCAAAAAACAATACAAAAATGAAAAACAACAAAAAACAAACAAAACAACAACAAAAACCAGACACAAGGAACAGGAGCTGTCGGGAAGAAGGGGAAGGTCCTGGATTTGCTTATGGGCACCACTAAACAAATAAATGAACAAAACTGAAGACCTTGTCAGCATCAACCCATCAAAAGGTTAGAAAATGTCAGATGGTATCTGGAACCATGAGCAAAGAGCATTTAGCAGCCATGACTGAGGAGGAGCTTACCAAGAGGGTTTTCAGGCCAAGCTTTCTTCTCTGAGGTATCATCAAAGGTAAGAGACTCCTGTAATGAGAGCCAAGACCCCTCTGAGTGAAGAATGGGCTCTGTGGCCTGCATGAAGTGGAAGTACTTTCTGGGATTAAACAGAAGCACGGACAGCTAAAAGGCAGAAGGTAGAGAACATTCTGGGGCCTGAGAAGGACCTGTATGTGATAGGGATGGGCTCGGCTTACCAACACAGCTGCCAGCTCTTGGTCTCTGGAATTCACCTCAAGCCATGAGGGGCCCTGGGAGGGGTCTGACAGCATTGGGAGAGGAGGACATTGCTGTTAGAAGGCAGTGTTGCCAGACATGTGGCTTTAAAGATATGACCACCCACCCTTTGAAACCACAAAGCTATTCCAGCACTCTCCCACCACATACTTCTCCCTGACTTCCAGCCCCCACCCACACATGTAGTCCACCTCCCAGGACACCAGCTCCTCACGGCTTTCTTGCGGCTCCTGGAGCATCCCCTGGGGCTCTGGGCTCACTGGCCAATTTGAACTTGGGGCAAGTCTCCACTCCTCAGGTTCAGCAGGTCTGGTGGGCACTGGCTCAGATAGGGGTACTTCATTCAACAGATTCACGGCTGGAGTCTCTTCCGAGGGCAGCTCCCTTTTGGGGCTGTGGATAGGGACCTGGGAAGGGCTATGCTGTTCCTCCGAGATGATGGCCGCAGAGGCACTCTTGCCAGCACTGAAGCTAAAATCCTGTTGAAAACATCTGTTTTAGGAGGCAGACAGGTTGCATGAGTGCACCAGGATAGGACAGAGACACGCAGGGAGAGTCACACAGCCAAGAGGGCAAGAATGAGTTGGTGGGGTGACGGGACAGAGAGCAGAAGGGGTGCATTTATATTCTCCTTTATAAGAACACACTTGCACTTCATACCATAGAAAGGAATCTATGTACATGCTATTAGTAGCTTAGCATGCTACTAATGGTTTTAATGGTTTGTTCCAAGTTAACCCTCTGTGATGGCCCAGATGATAACTGTGGAAACTAACTAGAGGCTGGGTTTTAGGAAGTGCCCGCCCCAGACATCAACGGAACAAGAAAGGAGTGCGGGGGCAATAATGGGGGCCCAGACATGTAAGTGACCAGAGGCTGGGTGTGGTGGAGGATGACTTCAATCCCAGAACTTGGGAGGCAGAAGCAAGCTGGTCTTTGTGTGTTCAAAGCCAGAATGACCTACACAGACAAAGCTCCAGTACAGCCAGGGCTACACAGAGAGACACTGTCTCAAAAAGAAAAAAGAAATGAGATGTGACCACAGGGACGACTCTGGATCTGAATGACTAACTACCTTTACTGGCTCCCCTACCCACCTCTTGCTGCCTGGAGGTGAAATGGAAGGCAGTTTTTCTGTTTTGTTTAAGATGTTAATCTGCTTCCTTCTAAACACCAGCTCTCTATCTGTACAGAGCACCACGGAAGGAAGCCAATTCCTATCTCTGCTCACTGCATTTTTTGTGATAAGCCCTATGATCTTCAGGACTCTACTCGCAAGTGAAATTTGCAGAGCCTTTTTTCTTGAGGAAACCAGCTTCTGTCCACCCACCCCCACCCCATCCCA